TATATATATATATATATATATATATATATATGTGTGAAAAATATATAGAAAATAGGAAGGAACTGGTTAGGTAAATAATTCAAAGTTCCTTAGTATTTTAGTTATTATTTAAAAATAGTGCTCGATATATATATATATATATATATATATATATATATATATATATATATATATATATATATATATATATTTTCACACATTTAGAACTTCCTCAGTAGTAATGGCTTGTGCGTTTATCTGGGAATTCAGCAAATCTTATTTTTGTCTGTCATCACGTATCTCAAGGACAGCTAGAGATATGGCCACCAAAATTTATAGGGTTACTAATGAGGACCGGAGTGTGTTTGTTTCTATGATCATTAAATTTGTTTCGCTATACAATGTAAGTATATATGGAATTTAAAGTTTTCATGTTGGTGTCTTTTGTAGCTGGGAGAATGTTCATATGTAAATAATTAAAGAAGAAGCGTACAAAAATTGGGTTTCTGCTAAGGACCTTTATTCTTTTTTTTTATATATATACACTGTAGTGAAACAAAATTCTTAATGTCTCTTGGGTGTGTCCGTTTTCTTTTTGGTCTAGAAGTTAGGGTAAGCAAGTACAAGCATCATTATAATGAACAAACTCAAGTCAGCCTTGCGCTGAGTTGGAATGACCAAAGAAAAGCTTTAAAGAAGAAGCGTACAAAATATTGGGTTTCTGCTACAGAACATTTATTCTGCTTTTTATATATACTGTAGGTAAACAAAGTTCTCAATGACCCTTGGGTATGTTCATTTCCTTTTTCTGGTCCAGAATTTAGGATAAGTAAGGATCAAGTTCAAGTCAGCCTTACGCTGATTTGGAACAACCAAAGAAAAGGTTGATATACTTCATAGGTGCACCTTTTGGCAGAAGAGGGAGGGGGATAGATAGCAAAAAGGCAAACATCTTTAAGGAGAATAAAAACTTTTGGAAAGTGATGATCATCCATATTTTGAAGAGATATGGCATAAAAGAAAAAGTTGTAAAAAAAACATTAGAAAATATTAGAAGAATTATAAAATGTTTTATTAGTTATATTGAACTTAAAGTTTGTGTGTTGATGTCTTTTTTAGGTGGAGTGCATGTTCACATGTAAACAATTAAAGAAGAAGCGTACAAAAGCTTGGGTTTCTACTAAGGACCTTTATTCTCTTTTTTTAATACATATACACTGTAGTGAAACAAAATTCTTAATGTCTCTTGGGCGTGTCCATTTTCTTTTTCTGGTCTAGAAGTTAAGATAAGTAAGGATAGGCATCGTTATAATGGCCGAGCTCAAGTCAGCCTTGGGCAGAGTTGGAACGACCCAAGAAAAGTTTGTATTTACCTCATCGTCGGAAGGACCGCGTGGTTATAATGGTCAACCTTACACTGAGTTGGAACGAGCAAAGAAAAGGTTGATTTACTTCACAGGCGGAGGTTTTGGAATACACTCGAGAATGCTATGCGTTGGAAAATGTGGAAAGAGTTCAGTCACCAGTGGAGAGGGAAAACGGACGTGTCCCGGTGGGGACGTCCTATTCTCGGTGCTACTAAATCTTGGTGTAAGAGGGAGAAAGAGGAAGGAAATTTATATATATACATTTTATAGACTTAAATAGCGCCACCTAATGGGTGTTTAACGAAAACAAGTGGGGTAAAAAAATTCCCGGTTCGTTTATTACTAGCATCATGGGAAAATGTATTTTTTTCTTTATTATTATTATTATTAGTTTATTGATTTTATTTCATTTTCTTACATATATTTTTAAACTGGACCCCTACTTTGTGACTGCCGCTTTGAGTAATCCAAGTCTTTTATCTTTTTTGTTTAACTGCATGAAATTGAAATCTCGCTCAAAAGCTCGCCCAAAATCTCACACAAAAATGTCCCCGCCTTTAAGTTATAACCGTTTTTCTCCAATGACATTTTCCCGGTCACCGTAAAATCATGACTTAAAAAACAAAAAAACAACAACCCCAAAACAAAAAAAAACAAAAAAAACAAAACAAAAAAAACAAAGAAAAAAACGTCTTGTATTATCTGTATTTGTTGTACGAGGAAAGGTCACCAGGGGACGATAAATGTTGACCTCTGATATCATATCTATTATAAGTCCTCACTAAAAAAAAATCGTTCAGAGTTATGCTCATGTTTATTACTGCAATAAAAATCCAATAAAAAAAAAAAAACAAACAAAAAAAAAAAACTAGATTAAAAAAATATCTTTCGTGAATTCATTCAGATATTTAAATGAAATTTGATCCAAGAATTCATGGTGATAATTTTCAAATAAGACACGATTCAATAAACACATCGTTCAAATTTATCAAGAGAAAAGGCTTCATTTGTTTGATGAATATTTTGTTCGTAGTACGATCAATAAGAAACTATTAAAATCCGAATAACAAGCTATTTCAAGTAATCTTAATAGGACTAGTCTCTCTGTCAAGGTTAACAACGAGTGCAATAGTTTTTTTTACTGGTACAACAGAAACATAGGAAAACAGCGAATAACCTACTTTGTTTGTGTAAATGGTTGACGGAAAAGGGATTAGGAGAGATAGCAAAAAGACTAGCCTCACTTTGAGCTACAAAGTTGCTGGGAGCCATGATCGCCTACGTCCTGAAGGGACGCAGCTGCTGCTTCAGCCACTCTCTTCTTCGTCAACCAGTGTAGCATGCCAGCGACAAGCCATAGGAAAGAAGACCTGGATAAGCTGATTCATTTTTTTTCTCAGTCATTAGTATAAAGCAAACAAATATAGTCTCAATTGGAATTCGAACCCGCTTCACCGGTTCTGGATTCTATGCCTATAACCTTTGCACCACTGTGCATCTCAGTTTACATGTTTGATTAAAACACCAGTCTGTGTGTGTGTGTGTGTGTGTGTGTGTGTTCATGTGTGTGTGTGTGTGTGTGTGTGTGTGTGTTCATGTGTGTGTGTGTGTGTGTGTTCATGTTTGTGTGTGTTCATGTGTGTGTGTGTGTTTATGTGTGTGTGTGTGTATGTATGCGAATCTGAGTATGTTTGCGAGTGTGAGAATTTGAGTGTTTGAATGTCTGTGTATATGTGATTTGTCTGAGTGTGAGGGCATGCGTGTGCGTGAGTAGGAATGTGTGTGTGTGTGTGTGTATGTGTAGGGGCGTGTGGTTTTGTGTGGGTGAATGTGATTTTTTTGTGACTGTGCGTGCGAGACATTGTGTAAGTTGTCATATAGGAAGAAAATGACTAACTACCGACACCGATTTTCGAGTGTGACACTTTGGACTTATGAATATACCTTTCCCGCCAGGTGTATAAATAGTGGTGTCAGGCTACTGACTGCGGTGATTACTGAGTGACTATTGAGTGGAACTATCCAGTCGAATTAGTGTGAATTATTGTGCGTCGATTATTTGGGTTTTAATTTAGAATTTACCGGATGTTAAGCCGAGCCGCGCTACTAATAAGGTTATTCACTAAAATAGTCGATTATCTTTAGTTGACTTTTACTTCTTTGTTCTTGTTAAGTACTTATTTGCTGTTGTAATTAAATACTGTTTTATCTTAACATTGAAGTCTTAATCATTAACGGCCACCGTACGTCACAAAATAAGTGTGTGTAATTGTGTCTATGAGTGCATTTATGCGTGTGAGAGATTTTGAGAGTGTGAATGTAAGAGCGTAGATGTGTGTGTGTAGGTGAGATTTTGTGTGATTGAATGTGTGTGTGTGAGATATTGTATGAGTGTGTGTGTGTAATTGTGTCTATGGGTGTGTTTGTGCATGTGAGAGACTGTGAGTGTGCGTGTTGATGTGTGTATGAGTGTGTGTTCGTGTAAGTATCTGTGAGAGTGTGTGTGTCTATGCGTATACCTGTATATGCACAGACACTTTCTTTCCCTTTTCATTTCTCTCTCTCTCTCTCTCTCTCGCACACACACACACACACACAAACACACATATGTGAATACACAGATTTTGTCTTCTTGGTTCAGTTAAAATCTCTTTTATGCTTCAATGATTCTATATTTTCTTTCAACCTCTATGAGTATGCAATAGGTTTGAATGTTGGGATCGTTGTTATTTTTCTTTGCCTTTTTTTTTCATTCAGAATTTGAAAAAACAAAACAAAAAAATAAAAAAAACGACGAATAAATCCGAAAAATTAAGAAATATATATATATAAAAAAACGGCGTAAAAGTCAAAAATTGCTCGTAGGAACGTCGAGAAACATGGCTGGCAACGTATTATTACAAGAAATGAAACTGCATCGTAGACACAGACAAGATGCCACATTCAAATTAGGGTTTACATATTACAATTCAGAAAGTCCTATTGACAAACACTATCTATTTTTAAGACCATCATTTTCCCAAAATCAACCAACATGTCGAATATAATTTTCAAAATCTATCATGGTTTCACTAAAAAATAATGACTCCATTTACCACTGCATAAAATCGACTTTTCTTTTCAGAGCGCTTTTCAATGAAAAATAAAAATAAATTTGTAATATTTATTTCAACGATATAATTTTATATATAGATAATTTTGAACCCTCTTAAAGGTCGACTTTCAAACTGAAACCTCCTGTAGCATTTTTATTAAAGCAGTTAAATTTAAATCATTGCATAGAAGTTGAAATAGTTAAATATACCGTTTAGTCGAGGTAAAATATTCAACTAGATTTTATGATTTTTATTCACGAATAAATTCGTGGCGTTTATCCATGTCTTGGACTTAGAGCTTGAAATAATCATTGCGGTAATAACTCGGGGGTCATATCGCGACAAGAACGGAAGCAGCTATTTTCGCTGAATCACAGAATTCTTCTTCATTACGCATGCGTCATTGAACCAAGCTGTTCTTGCCGGTGGCAGTAAAGATGGTGGCTCTGTCCGTGTGGGAATATCATGGATTTGCGGTTGGGAATATCTGGAGAGCTAGTCAAGTGTCTCTTTCTGATGAAGTCACTTGAATGAACAAGGAAATTTGAAGGCTCGCTGT